TCAGCCTTGTAGTTTTTGTGGATCTCAAAATGAAAACTCGCTACAGACGCACACATAGGCAAACATACAAACACAGAAAAAACCTTGACAATACGCGTTTTTGCACTGCATAGGTACGAAGAACGCACAAAAAATTGTTACGATCGCTTGGAAGCTCAAAATTATGACGGCATGCTTCCCTGCTTCGCGCACTAAGCGAAGTGAAATTGAGATAATTCTGGAGAAGTGCAAACATGAGATCCATTTTTATGCGCTTTTGCATCTATGCTGTGCAAAAGCGCATATTGTCGCTTTTTGCAATTTGCATATATGCAAAAACGTATCATCGAACGGGTTTGCTTGGTGCGCGTCGCTAATGATTTTTCACCGGAAAGCGCTTTTACGAATCATTTCATTAATCTTAGATGTGTAAAGAAGTAAAGAGTTTGACAGCGTTAAAACTTAAATAAATAAGTCTGCATACTGGAACTTAGTCAGAAGTGCCAGTGCGAAAATGGGTTTTTTGCACGATTCCCCCTCAGGTTTTTGATGCTAATGACACTGTTTTTTCCGGCAGATGCTTCTAACTAAGAGAATTGAGAGTGGCCATCACTACTGTTAGAAATTATTGCGATGACTCCCAATTCAAGCCCAAAAAATTCAGAACTCTAGATGCTCAGATTGCGAAGTTACGTCAAATTTCACACGAGACGTACATGAGACGTGGAACTGATGTGTGATTCGTTTTTGCGTCCAACATATCTGTGAAGTTTCAGCCCCTAACTTGCGTCGTTCCCGAAAACGCCTTCTCTCCAAAAAAATTTTCAATTGCTCATACATGAGAACGACGCGGATGCAAGCATCCATGTGTGTGTAGATTAAGTTATCAAAGCTTCAGCCTTGTAGCTTCTGTGGATCTCGAGATGAAAACTCGTTACAGACACGCATGCAAACGCACGTGCATAAACACACAGACACATACAGACAACCCCACGACAATATGCGTTTTGCACTGCACAGATGCGAAAACGTATAAAAACGGATCTCATGTTTGTACTTCTCTAGAATTATCTTAG